TTGAAATACCTCACATTTATGCAAATCTCTCTCTCCTCTCTCTGTCTACGTACCAATATTCTCACTCCACACCTGGGTTCCGTGGGGGAGCTCTCGCAGCCAACAGCGCTGTGGGACAGCTGGTAACCTTTTGTGACAGAAAACCGCTTTTGTATTTTTTTTCGAAAGAACTTTTTGTGTAATCTCGATAAAAAAAACCGACTTCAAAGGCCATACTATTCTCGCGAATTATATTCTATAAATAACATAAAAGACATACTTCATTAGAGTATTAAGTAAGCGAATTAACTTTTCCATTCAATTCCAAATTCGATCTCTACTCTGGAATTTGGAATTGAATAGATGTCTACTCAAGAATTTGTTCATTGCCGGTTACCGAATTCAATCTCTTAATAATAAGGGGGGAATTTTCATATGAAATTCTGAAGTAGGCCGTTTTCTTAAAGGATTAATACTACAAAAAACTCTAAATTTGTACACTTGTGATAAATTTATCCTGAACTAATTTTTTGACCCCCAAAAACCTCCAAACTGGTACACTTTTGACAAATTTAACCTTTATTAGTTTCCATTAAATTTTACTGCCAAATTGCTGAGCTTGATGACACGTGGCAGTTGACGGGTGTACCGGTTTGGGATTTTACCTCTCCGTCTATCACAAGTTTATCAATTTGTGATTTTTCGTGGTATTAATTCAATTTAACGGAAGGTAAATTTGTCACAAGTGTACTCGTTTTGGGTTTTTGATGGTTAAAAAATTAGTTTAGGGCAAATTTGTTATGAATGTACCAGTTTGGGGTTTTTTGTGGTATTAAGTTATTAACCCTTTCTTAAAAGAAAGTTAAGACCATACCTTGTCTCCAAAAAGACGCTGAATTGGCCATAGTCTTAAATAAGGCATTAAGCTCATCGGCCAGCCAAATCTTTGCTAGCTGGCGAAATCGTGCATCTCAAGAAAGATGAATAAGAGATGCACGGACTCGCCGGTGGGTGAGTTCGGGGATTTATTTAAGAATAAGGGCATCTTTGGTACCTGATCTATTTCTCTGTTTTTCTATTCTTTTATTTCACGGAACAGAAAAAAGAACATAAATCTATTTGTGTACTTCAGTTAATTTTTTTATTCCTCAAAATATATCAGTGGCCAGGGAATAGATTTGGAACAGAAACAAAAAAGTGAAAAATATATCTACTTTTTTGTTCCTAGGAACAAAAAGAGAAATAAGATCATTTCAGAAACAAGCTCAGCGTAACCTAATGCTCGTCTTTACACAATCGACACAAGGTTCGGGTAAGACCCACATCCGGATCGGGTCAGAACCGGGTCTCCTGACCCGATCCGAGTCCCATTTTTTTGGAAAAAATAATAATACAATAATAAAAAATAAAATAATTTAGAAATTTTGGAAAAAATTTAGAAATTAGATTTTGGGCTTTACCGTATGGATTTTTTAATCTCCTTTTCTTTAACAGACAATGCTAGGTTGCGACAGCTTGGCGACTCCGCTGAGAGAAGACGTCTTCATCACGAGCAAAGCGTGGGCCTGATTGATATCAACACTCTTCATCACCACCATCATCGAATCAAGCTTCAATCATGTGGGCGTGACTTCGAGGGGAGTGAAACTGCAGATTTTATTGCAAATATGCCGACTCGCAAATCTGGGAGGGTCGCCTCGCCGATCCGAAAGAGGGCCGCCCTCTCCGACCTGGGTGAGGGCCGCCCTCGTTGGCCTCGAGCGAGGGTCGCCCTCGCCGATCTGCACAAGAAGTGGCTGGTACTTCTCAATTTTCACACATGATTTGACTGAAATCACTTCCTTGCTTTGGCGAATCTCCGATCCGGATTTTCATCTTCATCTTTTTATAGAGAAATGTGAGTTAAAGTCAACTCTCACTGACGTTAGCTCTATTGATCCGGCAGAGTTGTGTTTGCTACTCTGTCACGTTCTATTGTGATGAAGAATAATATGCTTGCTGCTGTCCAGATTAATCTTGCTGCAGTCTTGAGTTTAGCTCACTCCCCTCCTACATATCTATATCTTTGTTTACACTGCCCTTTTCTGTTTTGTTAATTTTAACAGAGCAGGCAGGTCATCCTGTAGTTAGAGTGAACTTGTCATGCTTAAATTGTCTTCCCTTAAGATTCTATTGGAGGCATCCTTTCAGATCATCTGCAATTCTATTTTAATGGAAAATTAGATGGCTTCGAACCATTCTTTTGCATTACCAATTGTCTAGTGTTCACGGCAGTCGAGTAAGCCGTGCTCCATAGATTTCCGATGTCATTTGCTTGAAGGTTTGATGAGTTTGTGCAAATAATCGCACCAACTTTAGGATCGTCTCCATCCTCAGTTGTTTCGTCATTGCCCATTTCACCAGGCAACGTTTTGCTCTTCTTCTTGTAGCTAAAAAAGCTCAAAAGGTCTGTGCACTTGTTCATTGTAATGCCTAAAGATTTACTGTCAACCTCCTTACATTGTGAGTTATAAAACAGTAAAACTCTCCGCTGCCATCTCCAGTTATCCATCTTTGACTAATTATTACGTTGGATTTTCTGATGCCATCTTAGAATATTTCGATCACGTAAGCCCTTACAAAAGTCTGGTTTTATCCAAACATGAATTGTTAAGTCTTCACTGACATTTTTATAATTAAATGAAAAAAAAATTGAGAATGGAAATTTTTAGGGTCATACAAAACGCAATTATGTTCTTTTTCTACTCTGGGAACATAAATTTTTTGCACAGTTACCGAGCGCGTTCTTCTACTCAGAAACTCGTTCAGGAAATAGAAATAGAAAAAACTATTTTAGACCCCTAATTGAAATTTAAGTGTAAATTATGGGCAAAACATCCTCCTATCGTCACGTACACCTACTAGGACGCTGAAATTTAGGACATAAGAAAATGGTATGTTGTTGAACTGCGCTCCATGATGCAGCTTCCCAAGTAAAGAAACAAGCCAATTTCGTAAACAAAGATTATAATTCTAAATATAATTAGTCAAAAAGAAAGGAAGGAAGTTAGTGAAAACATAATAGCCGCATGGCCTTTCTTTCGGGCAAAGTTGCCCTTTCAGTGCCTCTTTAAATAGGAAACCACAGCTTTCATTGATACAAAATCAAGAAAGTCTGCAATTCCAAAACCAGCTCCACCCGAGAACTTTCCATCAATAGCAAGAACTTGACATTATCAGGAATGCAAATGCATAATCCCATAAATGCAAATGCACGCAAGACCATGGATTTCCACAGCTTACTCGACATAAATGGTCTTTTTTTTTTGTTTCCTTTTTCTACAATTGATTACTCGAAACCACATTTTAACTTTTATTTTTATTGGGGACGTTACCGATGTGCAAAGAACATGTCTTGCATACAATGTCGTGTACATAAGCAATGGGTCTCTTTCAAACTCGTGTCGTGACACTGCTCCTTATTTCCGTAGAGATATCTCCTCTGTATATCTTTCTACTTAAATTCAGTCTGCTTGAATCGACTGAAATAATCCCTTTCACGGTTTTTTTTTCTTAAAAGAATTTGCTATGCATTTCCGATAAAAAAACAACATGAAAAGACTTGCTATTATGATGAACTATAATTGTTATGATATATTACCGTGTTGGGCTATTTCAACTCCCTATACTAGTAAATACACCACATTTTAGAAACTGAGAGAAAATTGCCCTTAATCATCCAACTAAAATTTAAAGTGGTAGACGCTAAATTTATTCAGTTTCCTTCTCTCTCTCTCTATTTTTTCTAGTTTTATGTAGAATCTAGTTGTCGTAAATAAGAATATCATTATTTTTTTTAAATGTAGTGTATTGTCATGCATATTAAAAGCACTATTTTTCTGAATGAAATTTACCATTGTACGTAATTAGCCTCCTCGAAGAGAGAATTTCCTAGAAAACCTAGTTTTTTCCACATAGCCGAGCAAATTATGATTTAATTGCAAAAGAAAAATTCCCAAAAAATTGAACATCAACAATCTTTTAACATGATCAATTTTTCTTATTATTATTATTATTATACATACCACCGCCAAACTCTTTCTTATCAGTTATTTTCATATGCATACAATGGATGACCTTATTAAATAAAAAAGGCCCTAAAAGATTTGTCGGAACAATGCGTAAATATAAAAGATAAAATTAGTTAAATCAAAACTTTGCTTAAATTGAAAAGTTGAATGACAGCTAAATTTAGGGTGCGTTTGGTTCAGCTTTGGGAAGGGGCTTTCGGCCTCGAAAGCCCCTTCTCAAAATGCTGAACCGTTTGGTTCAACTTTCGGCCTAGCATTGGCCAAATGCTAGTATTTGGAATGTCGAAAGCCCAAAGCTAGTCCGTTTTACATATGTATTGTCTAGACTCGTTTTACTGGCGGTACAGTATGCTCCATCTATCATAGTTTTGCAAGGGTCTTGCGTTGTCATCAGGCGCTCGTCTTATTCGTAAAACTAGGTTCTACCTCTAAAGGTTTTCTCCGATTGTTCGCTTCATTGTATCTTTGGAGTATATTATAGGGAAAAAAGAAAGACTTTTGTTAGGAAAGTATCAACGTCGATCGGGAAGAACAATGGAGTCAGACTTTGAGGTGTAATAATACTCTCTTTAAAGAATTATTTGAACGCACAACGTTGTTAATAGTTACCGGCAGAAATCCCCGAGGATACAACAAAGTCTCGAATGAGAATACCAGATAGGAACAGGGATCTCTCAAAGGGAAGCAATAGGAAGTAATGGCTAAAATCTACCGTGCATACCTTAAAATCAGAAATCGAACAGGTTCCCACTGGTCCAATATTCCGGTTCTGAAGTGTACACCGAAGCCATGCTCGCCCCTAGTTCGGGCAAAAACCATAAATGGGAAATGCATGAGAACGTTAGGCATTCCTTTTAGTGGCGAAGTTTGGAACTGATTCTGATGGTTATTGGGCCTGAAACAAACTTGTAATGGGCCCGAAGGCGGTGGTCTTCATCTTCCTCTTTAAAGATGGGAACTTTGACTTCTTCGTCCCCTTCCCCAAGAACAGATGAAACGTCTCTGCTGTTGATCATCGTCGTCATCGTGAAGCTCCGGCTCCGATCTCTGGAATCCAAGGAAACCCTCAAGCTCGACGTCCCCGACCCCTGCTCCCTCCCCCAGCTCCGCCAGATCCTCGCCGACCGCCTCCCCCCTCCGCCGCCGCCTCCCGGCTCCTCCCTCCGCCTCTCCCTCAACCGCACCGACGAGCTCCGGTCGCCGGACCCCGCCGGTTCCCTCCAGTCCCTCGGCCTCGCGTCCGGCGACCTCGTCTATTACTCCCTCAGTCGGGGAGATGATAGCTCCTCGAACCCCAATTTCTCTGCAGGTGTATCGAATCGGGTCTCTCGAGGTCACGCGGACATGGATTCCGAAGGTTCGCCACATTCGGAGATGATCGATTCGGTTCCTGAAGATGATGCGCGGGAAGTTGATGCTTCGGGAAGCGCCAAGGAGCGAGGAAATTCTGTCTCTGGAAGTGATGATTTTGATGGGGAGGGTTTCGTCGCCGGGGATGGGTCGGTTGTGGTTCGCAGTAGGTTCTCCGAGCCTTACTTTCTGAGGAGGGTTTTGAGGGAAGAACTGGATGGCGACGGCGGTGACCATAGGCTTCTGGTTATTGCGGTGCACGCGGTCCTGCTGGAATCCGGTTTCGTCGCGGTCGATCCGGTGACCGGAATGCGTGCCGACCGGTTTCATCTCCCTGGTGAATGGCCGTCTAGGGCCTTTACCATCTCGTCGCAGTACAGTCTGCCCGAGCTTGTTGTGGATAGGACACAGAGTCTGAATATGCCTGAGAGTGCTGTTCTGAAGTTTCAGAGTCTAGGTCATTTCATAACTGTGTATGGGTCTCTGGCTAAGGCCAAGTCGGGGTTGCGTAGGATCTGTTTGGATGAGCGTAGGTTTGCTCCTATTATAGACGTGATGTGGGCGAAGGACAGTGTGGAAGGGAATGAGGATGGTGGCTCTTCGAGTTTGAGTTCCGAAAAGGAAGTGTTTGAGTTTTGGAGGATTGTGAAAGGCGGTTTGGCATTGCCTCTGTTAATAGACCTGACCGAGAGGGTTGGTTTGCCGCTTCCATCCTGTTTTACACGCCTTCCAACGAAACTGAAGCTCAAGATTATCGAATCGCTTTCTGGTATCGACCTTGCGAGAGTAGGGTGTGTATGTTCGGAACTTCGGTATTTGACATCTAATGATGACTTGTGGAAGCAGAAGTATGTTGAGGAGTTTGGACCGCGGATAGAAAGCCGAGAGACGATCAATTGGAAGCAGACTTTCACATCGGAGGTGAAGAAGAAGAAGAGGAAGAGGGAGATTCGTTGGTGGCGTCGTGTGGACGGGCGTTTCTACTTTGGGATCAGGAGGGATCCGAACCCTTTCATTGTTCCAGGAATTCTAGGTGGAGATTATGACCGCCTACCTGGTCTTGGGGTTCCTCCTCCTTTTGGCCAGCCATTTCGTCGAGTTCAATTCCGGCGGAACATCACCCCCAACTGCAATCTGGGAGGACTTAGTGGCTGACATGAGTTGGGTTTTGAACAGATCTTAATTGACTGTCAAGCGGTGGCTGCTGAGATATGGTGGCTTTGGAGGCATCTGTGATTGGCCACTATTGTGTACAGGTCTATGTTTTTAGCAAGATAAACATGTGTTAGTAGAATAATGTAGAGGTTGAATTTTCACTGTTGCTTTGTACTTTCTTAGTGTGCTGGAGGTCTCCTTCCCCACCATGCGGCTAGCGCATCCTTTTCCTTGGAAATAATTCTTCAGTCTTTGAAGAACTTCCAATGAAGTTGATGAAACTTGACCTGCATATCTAAGTATCACTAGTTGTTATTGGAGGTGGTGTAATTTATTGAGGTGGTGTAATTGTGCAGGCTTTTTTTATTTATGTGGTGTTATTCTCATGTGAATGTGATATCTGAATGGATCCATGCAGGTGAAGCAATGTCATCTGGTATTGAAACTTATTTGGACTAAGGCATAAAGAGTTAGGATCATAATTTTCTGGTATACCCTGGCATATGCTTCAACAATTGCTTGATAAGTCATTCCTCGTGGATTGATAGTTGCTGGACCACAAAGTAATAGATCTCAAATGTTGGTACAAAATTTTTTAGGTTTTTGCTTGTCATGGTATCTTTTTCAGAAGTATCACGACTAGATGTACGTGATCATAACTTGCTAAGACATGAGGATAGGGTTTTCGTTTTTGCATTTAAGTTCTAAAATTGACACGGCATTTCAACCAAAACAAGGAGATTCCATCAATGGGACATTAGATCGACCTTGGACGTCATGCCACCTTGAGACTGAGGCACTGTTTGGTTCAACATTTGGAATGCTCATTTGGGCTCTAAAGTCCATTGGCCAAATGCAAATGGTGTTTGGCAATTTTTTTTACTCACTTTGGGGAGATGCAATTGCATTTGGAATGCTCCCTAAAGGACCTTTGGCCAATGCTCCACCGGAGGTGTTTTGGGAAGTTGCATTTTCGGAATGCAACTTGTACTGTTCATCGACACTGTTCATCTTCCCCAGACCGAGGTCTGGCGTCCGCCGCCTGAGGGCTAGCTCGACCCTGGCGACCACCGCTTGGGGGTCGCGCAACCTTGGCGATCGCCACCTGGGGTTGTCGGACCTTGGGCGTCGCTGGGGTCGCGCGACCCAGGCCAAGTGTTGCTTGGGTCGCGCGACCCGGGTGACGCCCGAGGTCCGGCGAGGCGCGGTCGGCGAGGGTCGCACGACCCCCGGCCGACGGCCGAGGGTCGACTTTAGCGGCCGTCGCCTCAGGGGTCGCGCGACCCCCAAGTCAGCGACCTGTCTCCCGAGGGTCGCGCGACCCCTAGGCGGTGGTGGCCGGCGACCAAATCTGGCCATCGGCGGTTGGCCGGCGACCAGATCTGGCCGGCGGCAGTGGCCGCCGGTTTAGCTCCACCAGAGCTTTTTTTTTAAAAAAAAAATTAGCAAAAGTCTTTTAGCCCAAGTTGATTTTAAAAAACACTTAGCAAACACTACTTGCATTTCGAAAAACCCCTTTAGCCCAAAGGTATTTGCATTCCCCCAAAGTCGAACCAAACGGGCCCTAAGTAAGGTGGCATTGAAATTTAAAAGTCGTTTAAGTTGTCAAGTAACTAGCTTCACACTCTCTTAGAATAACATAGTAGGACATTAACTTCATTCACGTTCTCGCACTGCCATTTTATATGCCTTGATATGCGACTGCCCTCAACAATTTTTTCGTTTGAGTATATGAAAAGTTTTTGCGCATCAAATTTTCGTTATATAATTGGCTTAAATTCAGACCAAAATAAAATTTGGCTTAAAAGGGATTGTGGCAGAATATAGAATGTAACACCCTGGGTATCACGTAGGCACGTAGTAGATCAATCCTCTGAATTTTACCAATGCTACAACCCTTTAAGAGTGATGCTATTAGACAATGAAAAGGTTTGTGTCTTTTTTTTGCTAATGTTGAGTAGCCAAGCCTTCTAAATCATTCGACTTATCCGCGAGTAAAATGGTCAACAACGTTCCAAAGCATGAGCATAACTTGGGTACGCGCTTGAATTTATCCTTATCTTGATGGCAATATGGTTACGAAAAAAGGTTTTAAACCCATTATACGGATGTTAATTTGGTCTTAAACTTTTTAATTTGGCCAATTTAGCCATAAATCTTTTGACAATTTATCAATATAGTCTTTCCAGCTAATTTTGACCGGAAATCGCCGACATGGCGGTCCCGTCAGCATTGATCGTTCCACATGACTTGGTCGGCACTGACGTGGATAATTTTTATAATCTCTGTAAAACTTTATGATTTTTTTGTTTTCTTTTTCTTTTTCCCTATTTTCTTCCGCTAGTCGCCGGAGCCTTAGCAATGGCCGGCGGAGATGGCTAGCCACAGGCGAGCGTCATCCTTGCCAGACCTACAACCTTATGGCCAATGACCTTCGTCGGCCATTGTCGAGAGGCCCTGGCGACCAGGGGTGGAAAATAGAAAAAAGAAAAGGAAAGAAAAGAAAAAATTCAAAATATGTTCAAAACAGTGTAAAATTCGTTTACGTCAATGCCGGCTATGTCATGTAGGATAATCGGTGTCCACGTCAACGATTACTCGCCAAAATTGACTGGAAGAACTACATTGATAAATTGTTAAAAGTTTTACAACTAAATTGGCCAAATTGAAAAATTTATTACTAAATTAATATCCGTACAATCAATTTATGACTTTTTTGATAATTTTCCCGCAATATCTATATTCAAACACTATGCTTCAACTAACCAACGATGGAGGATGGGGAAACTCATCAGCTAAATCTTTGAAAATGAACATGGTGTTGGTAGCACTTGGAAATATATATTTGTACATATGTATCTACGCATAGATTTGATAAAGATGAGGGGATAAGACAGAAACAACGTGGGATCTAATTGACCAGATATAACAGGAGCCCCACCAAGTGTGGTTAATGATGCGCATCTCTTTCCCCAGGCAGTGCACATGTGCTTGGCTTCTTCACAGATTGTTCAACATGTCAGAATCCTCGGATCAAATTAGATTATACATATCCACGTCCACTACATAGCTTCTTGGAATTCCAAAACGATATCGGATTTTATGTAGGACGTGTTTGCGCTCTCTCGAAGAGACCCTACGGCTTCATCGCCGAGCGATAATCGTCGCCTGTTATGTGCTACATGGTGTTAAGAGATATCTTGGTTTCGGAGTTGCTGACAATAGTTGTAGCCACAAGCTTACTGATCTGGAATCGTCGCGAAAGCCGCAACAAAGAGATTTCTTTGATAAAAGAGAATACAATTCATTTGACATGAGATTTTTTTTTTTTGGGTCGAATTCGACATGCGATTTGATATGCAGTGCGATTCTCGCTGACTGAAATTCTCACTGGCTTTGGGGTTCCAAGGCACATGCGCTCCTTCGTCACATTTGCCTCAATCACTAGAAATCTTCGAATCCGTGATCTCATCAGCCGTTCGGATTGTGCTCTTCCTCCGTCTTTTCGGGCGACTACAACAGTCGATGAAATTGGCGAAAAGCCAGTTCTCCGATGAACGCACCTCGATGCATCGTGGATAAATTCGCCGCAATACCAAAAACTACATCGGGAAATGATGCACGTGCCTGGCGAATCTCGCACGTGCTTCACGACGTATCATCAGAAGGGAAGGGACTGCGTTTATATTCCGTACTCTCAAGGAGCATCTCGATTCTTTGACCACCGCTCGTGGATTCGCGTCGACCATGGAATGAACTTGGTTTTCTTTTAGTGTTAGGAGCCATTGCTTTGGAAACGACAATGTTGAGGCCATGGCTATGGCTAGGCAGGAGTTAGATAGCATTGGTCTGTCTCTCGTGATTGACCGTCGTGATGTCAAAACTTTATGCGCTAAGTTAAATTTGTAAACTGCGCGTACGTGATGAATGAATCGACTAAAGAAAGAAAGTTACTCGACTTCTATCGAGATTAAGCGCGGGACGCCGTTCTTTCAAGAGATTTTCCTTGAGAGCTAATCAAGAAATGTTGAAATTTTGGGTTTTCAGAAGTAGAGCATTAGAGGCCAACCGGCCCAACTGAAAAAGAATGCATTGTGTAAAGCTTCATATACGAGTTATGCTAAATTATCGGGGAAATCTCGCGACAGCTGCCGGCATCCACACCAGCGATTGTTGATCAAAATTGGCCGGAAGGACTAAATTGGCAAATCGTCAAAATGTTTAGGTTTAAATTGACTAAATTGAAAAGTTCAAGATTGAATTGATACAAATACAATAGGCTTAAGACTTTTTTTGTAATTTTCCCCTAGATTATCCATTGAGTTTAGAGAAGTCGAACACGAGATGAGGCCCAACGGCACGAGAGATCTTTCTTGTTCTGACACCGAGTCATTTGAATATGGTTCACATCAACACAGAGCCTCGGAATGAAAAACTAAGATAGATATTCTCTATCTCCGTGGGTGTCTACATCTTAAGTCACGTCCATCAAAACTGTTAATTCGTGCGCTGGGAGCACTTCAATAGTAAAATACTTTGTGCCATCAAGATCATCCGGAGAAGTAAACTAGGACTAGGTTTGTGAAAACTTGCCCCAACACCAGCCGACCACTTAAAAAAAATGCATGTGAATAAAGCTAGCTGTGAAATTTATGAGTAATGAAAAAATATTTGAGATTTTGTGCGGGTATTAAACGGAATAGAAAATCATCGTCCACTAAAAAGAAGAGTATCCCAAAAATCAACTCCCACTAAAAAAAATCCCAAACAATTCATAAAATCCCGGTGCTAGTGCCCGGGTCCCTAGCGCCAATGCCTGGATCCATCGAGGTCAGGCACAAGGCCCCGGTTCCCATGCCCAATGCCTAGATACTTGGACTCGGGTCCATAAAGGCTGAGCACGGGACCCTACGACCCATGCTTGGGTCCCCCGCACTTGGGCCCGGGTCCATAGAGGTTGTGCTAAGATCCCTAGTGCTCAAGCTCGAGTCCCTAGTGCCTATGCTCGGATCTCTTGCGTCCGAGCCTGAGTCCATCAAGGCTAAGGCCCGGAGTTCGCTGCCTAGGAATCCGGGTCGTTGGTGCCCATGCTTAGGTCCCTAGGGCCTAAGCTTGGATCCATCAAGGCCAAGCCCAGGACCATAGCACTCGTGCCTAGATCCCTCAATACCGAGCCTAGGCCCATTGAGGTCGAGGCTCGGGACCCTAATGCCTAGGCCCCCGACACTTGGGCCTGGATCCACCAAGGTCAGGTCTCGATCCATCAAAGTCGAACCCAACACCCTAATGCCCATGCCCGGATGCCTTGCGCCCAAGCTTGGGTCCATTGAGGCCACGACTCATGGGACCTTGGTGCTTGTGCCCGGGTCCATCGAGGTTCAGGCCCAGATGTTAGGGATTTGGGCATGGGCATTGAGGTCTTGAGGCCGGGCACTAACGACTCGAGAACGGGCACGGCTTGAGCCCGGCCTCGATAGACCGGACCTGGACTTTGCGGATCTAGGCTTGGGCACTAAGGACGTGGGCCTGGTCATCAAGGATTGGGCACGAGCATTAGCGTCTCGGGCCCATCCTCAATAGACCAGGGCTCGAGTGTTGGGGACTCGAGCCCGAATGCAAGATCCTTAGGCTGGCCTCTATGGACTTGAGCTTAGGCTCGGGCACTGAGGTCTCGCGCTCAACTTTTGTGGACCAGAGCTCGGGTGCCAGGGATCCGGGCACAAGTACCGGGGCTTCGGGCTCGACCTCTGTGGACTTGGGACCGATGCCTATGCTCTTGCTGGGGACCCAAGTGCCCGTGCTCAGGTGGGGGTCCATTGAGGCTTGAGCCAAGATCAAGGTTCCTATGCTTGGTTTCCCGATTGTCCGTGCGCAAGTATTGGCACACAAACAGTGTACGTGTGTGTAAGAAAACCAAATTAGATTTTCTTTTCCAAACCATAGAAAATATTTTCCAATTCGTTCGCAGGTATTAGCCAAACATAAAAAAAAATTCTAAAAAACATTTTTTCAAAAAATAATATTTTTCATGAAATAAATGGAGATTTAGTTAAATAAATTTGCTAGTAAACATGTACCAAAAATTTGATAATCATCAAGTTAATTTTACAATTGCATCGAACAGGCACGGCACTGGATACAAACAAGGCCCAATCACTCTTTCACTCTATGAAAAGCATTCATGCACGAAGGGACCAAAATGGAGGGAAAAAGAAGGGGTTAATTAAAAAAAAAAACACCAATTTTAGCTCAAGGGATAATTTTGGACCGAACTTTTGTTTTGTCCCGTAAAAAAGCATCAACTTTAGATCGAAGGACAATTCTGGCTCGAACTTTTTTTGTCCCGTAAAAAAACACCAACTTTAGGTCGAGTGACAATTGTGGCCCCAATTTTTTTTTGTCACGTAAAAAAGCATTAACTTTAACTTAAATCTCAAATTTGACCCCATTGACTTAAAACTATTGATTATCCAACTTGACTATTCCACCTTAACAATAAATCCACGTGACTTGCTGACTGGATTTAAAGCACTATTCATTATCTTATTCTTTGAGCCACAACTTGAAGAATAACGGTGAAACTGTTCATCTCTTTCACTTCACCGGTAAGTCAAAAATAACTCTAGATTGAATCTCTCTGACCAGAGTTCGTCGTTTTGTCGTAATCTAAAGCTATTGACCACCACTCGTCGACAGACGCCATGGATGAAATTTGTCGGGCTCACCATCATAACTTATTTTCTTAAACAAGGGTGACTTCAGACAGAAAGTCAACGAAAGGCTAGATTTGGGATCATGGTGAAAGTTGTTGATTTTTTATGAGACAAAAAAAATTTGGAGCCAGAATTATCATTCGACCTAATATTGGTGCTTTTTTACGGGATTAAAAAAAGGTTCGGGCAAAACTGTCCTCGATTTAAAGTTTGTGCCTTTTTTGGGAATTAACCGGAAAAAGATGGTAGCGTCACTGAATCCGAATCCATTATCGCTCGTGATCGCCGTATCTCCGGCTTCAATCCCAGTTCAGTCGTCTAATCGAATCGCATTTTCGTTCTTCATCGACCTTCCGATCAAACCATCCGGACTTCTGTAGCTGGATTTCTTACTCCCGGCCGGGAGAATTGGGGGAAAACCCTAAAATTGGGCCCTCGGGGATTAGGGCTTTTCTGATTGCAACGCATGTCGACGGGCAAACCCAGGGACGGAGACCTGCAGCTGGTGGCGGCGGCGGAGAAGCCGATGTCGGCGCTCCCGCCGAGGCCCCCGGCTGGCGGCGGCTCCACCGCGATCGTGGAGTACACCGCGCCGCTGCTCCAGGAGGAAGAGGAGGACCTGGAGGTTAAGCTGAGGCGGATCATAGAGAATGTTCCCGTCCGTGTTAGTAACACCTCCGGGAGTTCTGCTGGTTCAGGGTCCGGCGATTTTCATCAGGTCAGTTTCCCCAAGTTCTAAATTTTGGATTTTTTTTTCATTTAGGGTCGCCGTGCTACAGTGACCTTGCGTGCGGTATCACAGCTTAATAATGGGTGAATTTGTCATGAATACAATGTTTGGATACTCTTTGACTTTGAGGTGCTCTTAGATTCAGATTGGTAGATTGCTTTTGTATCACCGCTTAAGAAGGGGTGAGTTTGTCATGAATTCGGTGGTTTGATGAAATCTGCTGGCCACTTTGAGCAAAAGAGGGGGGAAAGTTGTTTGAATAATCTGTGGTGTTGAGGTAATCTGAGATTCAGATTGGTAGTGGACACTTGATGTTGTGGTTGTGTCCAGTGTGTGCAGTGCTTCTTGATCTTAGCTGAAACTTTTCTGCAGTAAGATGATAGTGGTGGATGTAGATTCGAGGTCATGGCCATTACTTGCGAATTGCCTTTTTTTAAGATATCTTAATTCTTATGAGAGCAAAAAGAGAGACATTGATCTGGCCTCTTAGAAACCGTCTGCGGCGGTGCATTGCTGTTGTAGGCTTTACTTGCAATCCTAAAGCTGTTTCTACTCCTGCCTTCGAGCTTCAATCATTCCCTTTTGTAATTGTGATGTTTATACTTCTGTTTCCTTATTTTGTTTCATTCTGCATCTAGATGTTCAATTCCCGTTAGTATGATTGGCACTAGCCTGCCTAACTTCGTAAATTTGTGTAATGTACATATCTAGTGATCTAACCTCCCCATCATTACCATTTTTGAGGATGTGCGCCTGATGTGGTTTTAACTATGCCGAAGGGAGGAGCTTGTCTTTATTGTTTATGGCATATCTATGTGATCAAATAGACAAAGTTTATGGTATAATTTTTTACTGAAGTCGTAGGAATATTACCGAAAGTGAGTTGAAAGGGAAACATGATACTTTGTCAAGTTAGAAATACATGCTTAAGTTAATTGGGTATCACATTAACATAAGAGCTGTCCCTTTTGGCCAGTGAATCAAGAACATTATATGGATAGATATTCTCTTGTATTGCATTTAGCATTCTGAACTTTTACTGGAATGAGATGTCTATGGTGCTCATTACTGACACTGACACTATTGATGAGGTGCACTTCTTTGTTTAATGGATATTGTTTATTATTCTGCCATGTTCTGTTTAGATAAACTCGTCTTATTGGTTGTGATATGGCAATTCAATTGGAAGGTTTTTTCTTTCATTTCATTTTATGGGAATAGATGGCTTCTTTATTTCATTGATATTCTGTTACTTGATACACTATCTGATTTGTTACCTATTATTTGCAAATTATGCTTGCAACAGTATCGGCAGATGAGACGGAAGGAGCAAGACCGGCTAGCAAGAATGGACGCTGATTACCAGAAAAGGAAAGAAATGGCCGAATATATGATGAGAAGGGAAGAGAGATTGAAAGCAGCGGAGGAACGTACAGCAAAGAAGCGTTTGAAGCGCCAAAAGAAGAAGCAAAGGAAGAAGGAGAAGAAGATGAAACCTAGCTTGGGCGGAGGAGAGCATCCGAAGGGGGAGTCCTCTGATGACGACGAAGGTGATTCGGATAATGGCGAGGAAGCAGCAAGTTGATCAATCCTGTTCTTCTTAATTTTTGTAATGTTAAGGTTGCTTTGTTATAGGAAATTGATTTTCCTTAGCACAGCTCGTCGTCCCCGCCTACACTTGACGAGAATTTCCCAAAATTGTAAGGTTTTAGGGTGTTGATTCAGTGACAAGAAAGAGATGCTGGAGTTTCCATCTTGCTACATGATGTCTGGCAAACTACAGTAGTGCACAGGTTGTTTTCACTGGTGTTCATGGTCATGGCTTGGGCTAGTTACTAGTAGTCAGTGGTTGAGCCATCCATGGCAGATGTGATTGAACTTTTCAACCGTATAGGACAGACCCTTCAAGAAGACATTCTTCTGTTCCAATTCGGCTTCTTGGCCCTGTTTGGTTCAGCTTTGGGAAGGGGCTTTCGGCCTCGAAAGCCCCTTCCCAAAATGCTGAATCGTTTGGTTCGGCTTTCCGAGTTCGGAAAGCCGAAAGTTAGCATTTGGAATGCCGTTGGAATGCTGAAAGCCTATTTTTCCCTTCCCAAATTGCCCTCACTCAAATTTCAATTTTCCGGTTTTGCCCTATTACTGTTCATCTTCTTCACCGTGAGGGTGGCCGGCGAGGGTGGCCGGCGAAGGGCCGGCGAGGGCGGATCTGGCCGGTGATGGGCCGGCGAGGTCGCCTGACCCAGGCGTCGTCGCCTGGGTCGGCGGTCGCCTGGAGTCGCGCGACCCAGGCGGCGGTCGCCTGGGTATCGCGACCTCAGGCGACCGCCGCCTGGGTTGCGCGACTCCGCCCGTAATCGCCAGAACCCAGCGGCAGCGCCCGGGCGGTCGCCCCGACCCCAGGCGGCCGTCGCCAAGTCGAGCGACCTCGCTTGGACGCCCTTCGCCGGCCAGATCCGCCCTCGTCGGCCCTTCGCTGGCCACCCTCGCCGGCCACCCTCACGGTGAAGAAGATGAACAGTGATAGGGGCAAAATCGGAATATTAAGAATAAAAATTGCCAAAGCCCTTTACAAAAAAAAATTTACCAAACACTACTTAGGCCAAAGTAGCTTCACAAATTTTTTTTTACCAAACACCACTTGCATTTCCCCAAGTGACTTTCACCTAAAGGTATTTGCATTCCCCCAAGTTGCATTTGAAAAGCCGAACCAAACGGGCCCTTAATGTGCTTGATTGGTACATGCGCGAATGCAAATCTGATTATCAAAACAATTTGAAGCCGTAGAACCATGCGGCCATCTATGGCCGTCTATAGTTTGCCTCGTACATTTATACGCCTTCTTAGTACTAGTACATGGAGATGGACCAAAACTCAATGCTCGTGAACTTACCACTTTCACGAGTCCTGCTATCAGGGACGAAATTGAAAAAAGGGCAAAAACAGCTGGGGCCAAATGTGGAAATTCGGGAAGCCCCATTTCACTTTCAGAAAGTAGAAACTAACTTTTCATCGGCCTACCGCCTTTTCGCAGACTCTTTCCCTCCCTTCATCTGCCCCGATCTGTTAACCTCTTCCCCGATCACCTTTTCGCCGTTCGCGTCCCGTAGCGTCTGATCGGCGAAGGAGATCGTGACACGGGAACGCCATGGGAGCTCCGACTCCTCCGCCTCATCGCGTCGACGTCCGTCGAGCTCTCGGCGGTGGCTCCGGTAACGCTCCCTCGTCCTTTCATCAACGTCGTTCGTTTCGTACATTCCGCTGCAGGCGGACGCCGATCGCGTCTCGTCGGTTTATCTAGCAGTAGGACTAGTCTATTGCTTCGCTCGCCATCGTTTGACGTGATCGTTGATCTACGAGACTGTCCGATCGATTCACTGATTCCGTGTTGTCTGCTAGTTGCTGATTTGCTTCTGTGGAGAAGATGGCTCGCCGGGGTCGCGCTCCTGTTCTCTTCGACGGCGACGTGGTTCCTGTTCGAGAGAGCCGGTTACAATCTGTTGTCCTTCGCCGCGAATACTCTGTTCCTCCTCGTCCTCGTACTCTTCCTTTGGGCTAAATCTGCTGCCCTCCTCAATCGGTCGGTACCTCGCGTTTCCATTCTCTCATGTCTTGTTTGATGTCTCTTCGAGTTTTGGTTATGCTTATTTGCATAGAGATGTCGTTGGGCTGGCTTTTTTACAAAGGGGGATAAAGGTGTAGGTGTTGGAGAAAAGAGAATCCATTTATCCTGAAATGGCAACTTTTGGAGGATTCATGTAGAAAACTGGACTACCATTGTTTTTGACAGGAGGAGGAAAAATGTTAGGTTTTCTGTAGATGCATTTTAATCTCAAACTTGGGAACAATGTATCGAACTTGGAGCACCGAGGCTTGATTAACATGCAATTCCAGGATGCTATTGGGAAAATTCATTTTCTTCATTCAGGAGTTGCGCATTACAGCCCCATGAAATCTACTTGTTATCTTTGTTTTTATTTGATTGCGTGCAAATGTCCAGACCATTGCCTCCTCTCCCTGACCTAGAGGTTTCTGAGGATTCTGTAGCCAAAGCTGCTGATGTTATTCTAGAATGGATCAACCATGGTTTATCCATTGCACGTGAGATAACGGTCAATCGAAACTTGAAGCTCTTCTTTCAGGTTTGAGAAAGTTTAATGAATGGTTTTTGTTTACTCTCCCGAGTTTCCTGTATTCCTTCAACTTTTTGGAAAGGGCTTATTAGTTTCCTGTTACATGGCTAATCAGGTTGCCTGTGGCTTGGGGGCGATTTCATACATCGGCAGTCTCTTCAACTTTCTTACCCTAGTATATATTGGTGAGATCTGCACACCCAGTGCTTTTGTTCGTATTGCCTCATCTTTGTTATTGCTTCATAATTGTGAGATGATTTGTTATAATTGTTTTTGTTTTATGCTACCTGCAGGGGTCGTTCTTGCCTTATCTGTGCCTTTCGTGTACGACAAGTATCAGGACCACATCAATGATAAACTGTGCGTAACACACAGCATTCTACAAAAGCAATATAAAAGATTTGATGAACGCGTCTTGAAGAAGATTCCAGTGCCTCCCAACAAAGAAAAGAAGATTGAATAGGCAAGTACATTATCTCCCTCGTTTCCTCTGTCTGAGAGCCTGTGCTGGACAAATGAGACTCTGTACTGAATACTCAATGACCTGTTGATATTGCACAGTTCAAGCTTAAAACTGTATGCATCACCTATTTTCCATTTCATCCATATCTACTTATGATCACTTTGAAATCCTTTTTGGGTGCTCTTAAGAGTCAAGCTTATCGTACAGATTGATCAATAGTCGCATTTTCATGTTTTTATATCTTCTATTTGTTAAATGGAAGTTCTCTGTGGCTTCTGGTGTGAGCATCATAAAGTAGGTCATGTAATTTTAAACCCTCGGATATATCCATATCTAGAAGCTGACATTGGCAAACTATCGTAAATTTGTTGAAATTCAAGTTATTAGGATCTTTCCAGGTTGAAATTTGAAAACTGGCAAGCCTATTCATTGTGCCTGATTGGATGTACAAAGTGCCTAAGAGGCTCTTGTGTCGTATTTCTGTTTTTTGAAGGTAGGCTGTTATCATATCATTGTCTTAGGTTTTTTGATACTTGAGGACGTCTTGCAATCTTTAGTGTTAGAGCTGGCTGATCGGAGCACTTGCAAGGAAAAAAGATGATGGCTGTGATATCAACACTCACTAGTCACTAGGAGTAACTCTTAGTATGGTGCATTTGCTTTGAAGGACTGGTGCTGTTTGGATCGACAACTGTTGTTGAATGCAAGTCATATATGGACCTTAAGTGCTCTCTTTCTTCTGTTGACGTATGAACCCATGACAGATTCAGGAAGTGCTTGGGTTGGAATATACCAATTATAGATTTCTTCACTTATTCTTGACTACAGTCTATTCCTGAATGCATATTGACAACACTCTTTTTTCCTGAATGCATGGCACTAGCTAGGAGTTCAATGTCACAATTTTATTTTATGACACTGTAAAACGATCGTCATGAGCTTCTGAATCTTTTCTCCCGTTGGCATCTTATCAGATTTTTCCTTTTCCAGATTCCTACTTGATGATTTTCCTAAACGGCACCTGCATTGGTTGGGTACTGGGCTCGAGTAGCTTGAAAGATGTGACCAGAGACGTGGAAATGGTTTCTTGTGACATCATTTTTGGTTAGCTGGTATCTAGATGAGTTAAGGTCGACCATATACTGGCAATAATATGCCAGACCTCAGGCCCATTGGCCTCTGCATTTTGGCGAGCGTTGGGTTTGAATTATCAGAAGTCCTCTGTATATTTGGTGTGAGATGTATTTTCAACAGTCGTGGCGTTCTGAATGTACTTCTTTTTCCTTACAAGAGAGATTACAACGACAAAAAGCAAAGCTCAAGTAAAAGTCTTCTAGGATTTGTAACACTAACACCTAGATTATGAGCTAACATTAAAATGCCCAAGCCACTGGGACGGAAATCATACAAGTTTCTCCGGAGTCTGAGTTGCGGCCTTCTTGGCTAGAAAATCAGCACAGGAATTTGCTATTTGGTAGGGGTGGTGAAGTCGACAATACCAACCCCGTTCCGCAATCTTCTATAAGATGGAGGAGGGGATGAGAAGTATCTACAGCATGATGAAGTGGCACCAAACTCGAACCACTCATCAAAAACCCATATTCCACGCAAGAGAATGACAGTAAGTTCCGCAACAATGAAGTTGCGCCATCCCACAGAGACTTAGGAACCGGTGATCCAATTACCTCAGGAGTATCCGAGTAACCCTTCCGACGACAAACGGCAGAGGCAAGACACCACCCACAGTCGAGGAATAGATTCAAAGGGAAGAAAGCATCATTTGCCTGTACATCTAGCAGACAGACTCGAATATAGTTGCAACTCCACAATCCCTTAATAGATGCAACACACTTTCCTCTGTACAAGAATGCCGTCGGCAAATTTAACATATTGGGTTAAAGTGAAGCATGATCCTGGTCGTGGAGCTAGTTATCACAAGAACATTACTTCCACTGATCATTTATTCATTATTTTTTCCTGGATCCACGAGTAGTTCGCTCAAGAACACTATCATCAAGCTTAGAAACTCATCCAGTATTACTAACTGACAAAGGTTAATACAAAGACAGTTAATTATGCCACGTAGACTTTAACTCAAAAAACAGATTAACTTTACCGATGGTAGTTATAGTCTACAACTCTCAAAAGTGGAGATTGCATTCACTGTTAAGAAGACATCGGCAAACACAACAGGAGAATTCTCCTCTTTAGAGTTTAGACAACTGATGAACATTCCTGCAAAGCACGCTATCCAGAAAGACGCTATCTCCCTAAAGTGATGGTTCTCAATTACCCAAACCTTGCAATGGATTGTATACAAGAAAGAGAGGTAACCGCCGGACCCATGGGATTCACAAGACTTTGTCGATATTGAACTCCGCCTTCTGTCGCTCCGAAATTCTCATTATTATCTGAATCTACGGATACAATTATTGCCACAGAAACACAGATTTTAAGCAAGACGGGGCACAGGAATGGCTTCTGTCTGTGGCAATGTTACCGAGCGTAACAGCTCCAATGAGAAAACAAGGCCCAGGAAATGAGAAAGGATTGTGTTTGCTGAGGCCTGCATTAAAAACACATGGACAATTATATTACCAATTATGACAATAAGAACTACACAGAAATCTCATTATCTTACCAACCAGCCTTCCTACTTTAACCAATGCAATAACTCTGTAAGGGAAAGCAGGACTAAACAGCACAACCCAATATCATATTTAAGAATTACATCTGCCCTTATGGAATTGAAAAGTTGGAAGTATAAGTAGTCGAATACCTGCACAAGGAAAACATCCAACGCAAGAACAGGACTATAACCAGGGGAAATCCCCTGGTAATATGGGTTCGCTGAGGAAGTGAGAGCCTTTGCTACCAACAACCCAACAGTTGCTTGCATACCAAGAATAGCAGCACCCATCCCTAACAGGTTCAACATGATGCCATTCTTCAAACTTTTGACTACATCTGCTCGAGGAGGGGCCTGTATATTGTCATACATCATCACAGCACCACTCATTAGTATCAGGAGTGACAAACACAGTCTCACGGCTAGGATAATTGGTCAAAACAGGCTTTGTATAGCTGGTTGATACAAATGTCAGATCAGAGAAGAGCTGAACCAGACATTCAATTGAAAGCAGTCATCATTCAGAGTAAACACACGAGGAAGGTTGATGAACACTAAGGAACACTTTGTGAGCACAAGAACACTTGGGGAACACTTTCACATTGTGGAAAGCTCCATCGCCAGGCACACATGTGAGCGCAAAGAACACTTGGGGAAGCGGGGTAGCACGTGCATTGCAATTCAAGAGGAATTCATTTAAGCATGCAGATGCTGAATGGCCAACTTGCATTTCCTTGCATACATGAATTTTATTGCTTGATACATAGGGCAAGCTCTTGATAACAGGAAGCTTAGGAACGTGGTTAGATACCTTCGAGGGATCATTAGCAGTTTTCCGAAGCTTCTCAGATAGCCGAATATATCCAAATGACCAGAAGACGGAAATGAAAGCTGCCGCTATCCCGCCAGCAGTGGCGTAAAAAGTGGCCGGCGATGTGACCTTCCCAGTTATAACCACGGAAAAGGAAAGAATAACCGCAGCCACAACAGTGCACACTAGCTGTCCCCAAAACCCTAAATTCCCCAACCTCCGGAAATACCTTGAGGTATTCTCTAGTCTTTTGGCTACCTGCACAGCATCATAGGCAAAATCAAAACTTTTAAACCGAACCCATAAGAACCGAATGAACCGACTGGCGTTAACCTTCGATCCAACATTGCCCAAGGATCACAGTAACAGACACTCCGTTTTTACATTCACTGTTCTATGAAGTTGCCAGTTCCATTACTCACAGCCTCACACTCACACATGACAATTACAGCCCAGTTCACAACCCTAATCCCAGAAGAGAGAGAAACAAGATAGTCTGAATTTTGGATGTAAAGCAATCTAATTTGATCCCACTTGAAGTAAAACTAACATTCAGCACGATTTACAGGAGGCGGGTATACCAAGAAAATAACCAATATTCAATTCCTTCAGTCTCAAGCTCTTGCAAGTTCAAACCCACCAAACAGAATCACCGAATAAAGGGACGAAACATAAGTTAACTCAACCTGGGCAAGTTTCGCCTTCTCAGCATCGTCGTTCGGAGAAGTGGAGGCAGGAGAAACCGGAGAGGAGGCCACCGAGGTGGAGAACAGCTTCGATTGTCTGCAGCCGAGAGCATCGCGAGGCGAAAGGGATGTCAAGGGAAAGACGTTCGATCCGTGAGCCGGTCCAGCGGCGGAGAGAGAATTCGGAGAGGAAAGATAAGGACGGTGGCCGACGAGCAATGGCGGCTCTCTGGCAGCGAGGCGACGGAGGTACGGCGATGAGGCGGGACCCGACGGCACCGGGAACGTGCCGGAGCTCGACGCCGGCGCCGGCAAGAGGAGGCTCTGCATGATTCGAAGGTCACCGAGTGAAGAATGGAATATGCTGAAGCGAGGTCGGAGCAGAAATGGGGCAAAAAGAGAAGTGGGCGTTCCAAGTAGATATTACTTTCCCTTTGTCTTTTCCTTTTCCCATTTCATTTCTTTATAAACATTATTATAGTGAAAACATAAGAAAAAATTAGTATCCCCGTAATAGAATTTTATGAATAATCGAAACAAGTACTTAATAGATTACTAAGTTTAATAAGCAAAAATAAATTATCGCTTATATCAATTGAGCTACTTTCATATGTTTTGTCATTTCTAAAACTTTCGAGAATATTATAGTACGATTACCTCGTAATTTTTTGTGTAATTTCAACTGTATAGGTTAAAAACTAGAAGCTTTTTTCTTGAAAAAAAGGGCAAATTTCACCTAATCTTACGAATTAGATAATACCATGAAAACAAAATAGAAAGAAAATCCTTGCAAGGGATTCACTCTCATAACACAGGAAGAACTTGCAAGTAATGGAGAGCAGAACAAATGTCGACACAACCATCTTCACCATTGGAGAAAAATCTTGATGAAGTCTTATGGAGTTTTTGCTTCAAAGAGGAAGGCTAGCAATTGCGTTCCTGACAAAAATAGATACTGCAACTTGAATGAGAGAACTTTGACAATAGAATCACCTTACGCTCCCTTCACATCCCGTGATCAAAGCAGAAGGCACGCGATTAAATGTGAGAGACTGTAATTTGGGAGAAAATATTCGGTGGTTCATGCACGCCACGTCACGTGCCTACGTGGCGTGCATAAACTCACGTGGATCACTGATAATAGGACATGTGGCTCTGACCTGGAATAAAAAAAAATAAAGCTATATTTCGAGTCTCTCTCTTTTGGCGCCCTAGGAAGAACACTCTTTCTCCTCTGTGCATAAACGCATTAATTGCTGTGTTCTCTCTCTCCCCCTCTCCCTCTCTTTTCTCTTTCACGTAAGTTTGAATGTCCATTTCTTTTTCACTCTTCTCCTTCCCTTCCCAGAAGGCTTCCTCTCATCTCATCCTTGTTCTTAGCTTTTTCTTCTTCACTTTCGTCATCGGTGGCTCCGCAAACCGCCGGTGAAAAGCGGAAGGTCAGTCGCAGTGGCTGGGTCCCGAGACCCCCTCCACCTTTGCCTCCGCCTCCGCCTCCGTCCTCTGCTCGCCTTGCGCGCCCGAAAGGGAGTGAGGCAAAGGTCGAGGGGCGGGTGACCGCCCTTGACATACGAGCTTGGGGCGAGGTTGAGAGACGACATTTTTTTTCTTTGGTTGAAGGCGGCAGCTCCCATGGCGAGAAGGCCGTTGCTGCCACCAAGTCCAAAGCAGCTGCAAAGCTGAAAGTTATGGCGGGTGTGAAGAGAAAGGCGGCCAAGAAGTCGAAGTTGAAGCCCGCGACGAAGGCGGTGAAGACTTTTGCCAACGCGACGCCCGGGAAGAAAGCTGTGCAGAAGGTTGCCGCCGCGAAGCTGAAGAAGACGCCGGCGAAGAAGCCGAAGAGCGTGAAGACGCGGATGAAGAAAGCCAAGAAGTGAGTCAGTGCTGTGTTCTTTACTAGCGTGAGGTAGAGGCCGAGGGGCGGGTGACTGCCCTGGACAAGAGCTTCCGGTTCTCGAGGTTCTTCTCGATCAATGCGAGCTTCACCTCGGCATCTTGGCGCACCACAGTTAATCAAGCTTGATCGCATGAAGAAGAAAAAATACTGCAAGTAGAGGAAAATTCTTGGGCTCCGTTTTGTTGCTTATTCTTGTAATTTTCTTATCAGTTGTCTTTATTGCATTGTTTAGATAATATGAGCAAAAAATGAACTCAAACAGCGAATTGTGTTACTTTGGGTTGTCTTCCACTTCAAGCTTTTGACAGCTAATTCGTGCGTCTTTGTTGGCCATCATGAGCTTGACAACGAAGCACGATCTTCTACGAAATTGTATCCTATGCTTACTATTCTTTTTTTTTTGAGTTTCTTGTGTTGTGCACAACGTAGAAACAACTTTTGTTGCTGGTCACAAGTGGTCGCGTAGCTACTAGGCTTCTGCTATTTCACAAGGCAAACGGCCTTACCAAATTTCATATATACATACATATCACTTGTTACTCCGAGAAAATCGAATCCCGTGCCATCGAGACCTAGCAGCCGAATTAGATTTGAGCCATCGAAAGGGGACTTCCGGCAGCCCGAGACAAGTTTTGATTGAGAAAAAATGTCGTCGCGTCTTGATAATTCCAAGGATCAGTCTGTGTTTAACAAGATGGATCGAATTCAGTGATTCTATGAAATGGACGTGCTCGCACGGTTTCTCGCGTGACCATATTGAGAGACGTGGCCGTAAAACTTGATGTGTGACCACGTGAAGTCGACGCTGTCTTCACACCGCGTTCTGGTCAAATTTCTACCTTAGTGATCTCGCCATGTTCATATGAGGCGTGGATGGATGATGACAACGATGCTGAGGATCATTTGGCTTGGGCTTGGACGAGAGGTTCTCTGGCATTAAAAGTAGGAAGGAAGTCGAAGACGTGAAAGATGAGAAAATGATCATATGATAGAAAATCATATTGATCTATGAGAAAATCAACTGAGGGCCGGCTCTTGCACAATACTTTGTTTAGGTTACACAGCCCGAATGACAAACTATAACATTTTGTCCTCTCCCTTCAACCAAAAAAAAAAAAATGCCCTCTCTCGACCCTGTCCCTAAGCTCGTACTTGCTCCCGAAGAACTTCGACAACCCGAAGCTCTTGTCGAGGGCAGTCACCCGCCCCTCGGCCTCTGCCTCACGCTAGTAAAGAACATAGCACTGACTCATTTCTTGGCTTTCTTCATCCGCGTCTTCACGCTCTTTGGCTTCTTCGCCGGCATCTTCTTCAGCCTCGCGGCGGCAACTTTCTCCACAGCTTTCTTCCCGGGCGTCGCCTTGGCAGAAGTCTTCACCGCCTTCGTCGCGGGCTTCAACTTCGGCTTCTTGGCCGCCTTTCTCTTCACACCCGTCATAACTTTCGGCTTTGCAGCTGCTTTGGGCTTGGCGGCAGCAACGGCCTTCTCACCATGGGAGCTGCCGCCTTCGACCAAAGAAAAAAAATGCCGTCTCCCAACCTCGCCCCCAAGCTCGTATGTCAAGGGCAGTCACCCGCCCCTTGGCCTCTGCCTCACTCCCTTTCGGGCGAGCGAGGCGAGCAGAGGACGAAGGCGGAGGCTGAGGCGGAGGCGGAGGGGGTCTTGGGACCTAGCCACTGCGACCGACCTTCTGCTTTTCACTGGCGGTTTGCGGAGCCACCGACGACGAAAGTGCAGAAGAAAAGCTAAGAACAAGGATGAGATGAGAGGAAGTCTTATGGGAAGGGAAGGAGAAGAGTGAAAAAGAAATGGACATTCAAACTTACGTGAAAGAGAAAAGAGAGGGAGAGGGGGAGAGAGAGAACAAAGCAATTAATGCGTGCATTAATTGCTTCACTTCTTTGCTCACGGCTTCTCCTATAGGCACAGAGGAGAGAGAGTCTTCTTCCTAGGACGCCGGAGGGAGACTCGAAATATAGCTTTTTTTTTTTTTATTCCAGGTTAGAGCCGCATGTCCTATTATCAGTGGTCCACGTGAGTTTATGCACGTCACGTAGGCACGTGATGTGGCACGCACGAACCACTTAATATTTTCTCGTAATTTGGTAGAGAGATATTGAAGAGGAGAATGGACATTGGAAGTGCACTTCTTCTGCACCACTAGTTTGTGAACAAATCTTGACCCCATCGTCCAAACTGAGAGATTATCACCTTTCATCTTCATATTGTTCCGTGGTATTTCCACATGCCAAGTGTAATCGGGCAATCTTGGCACTGCCCAAGTGCAGCATCTTATCCTATTTTGTCTTGCAAGAACTAGAACTTCTTGTTCCACAGACCCTTCTTCAGTGTACAAGAGTCACAGAACTTTGCGCAAGCTCTTGAACGTGGCCAAAACAATGAACTACACACTCCACCGCCTCCTCCTGTCATCCGTCTCCCTCGCCCTTATTGCTTTCCATGTCGCCGCCTCCCTCTCTGCTTATCCTACGATTCCAGGTGCCGACACCGGCGAGTGCTCGGTCCCTGTTAGCGAAAATCTAGTTCCAGTACGCCGAGAAGTGTATGATAATGGCAGGATCATCGACATCACACACAGGATCACATCGGACTTGCCGTCCTATGAATCGATGGGGAGCTTGGGGCAGTTCCTTTGGCTTGCTTTCAGCTTGAAGAATGGTTCGCTCACCAACAACTCCGAGATGAAGCTTCCTGCTCACACGGGCACGCACGTGGATGCTCCCGGGCATGTGTATGATCATTACTATGAAGCCGGGTTCGATGTGGACACGCTAGACTTGGAAGTCCTTAATGGTAAGTTTTTCGAATCCTACTTTGGTTGATTTTGCTTACTGTGATTGTTTCCTGACCACGAGCCATGAACGGGGAAGATGGGCTATAACTTTGTGTACGAGTTGTTCCTGTGTCCATCTCTGAAACTGATGACTTCTCAAAGATTAAATAGACTCGACTAGCCCTATATAAACTTCTGTCAGCAACTGCTCAAGCAACGGCTGCGATCGAGTACTTCTTTGGGCTAATTAGTACACTTTCATCCCTAAACAGTGAAGTCTTCACGGTCAATCGTAACCGTTTGATCGTGCACTCATGCGCTTCGTACGAAACTCTGGGAAAACGATACCTTTGGATGCACGAGTGCTCCACAAAAGTTCCTCTTTTTTTCAGTGAAGGACCTTAAAAGTCATGACCCATGATACGTTTTTGTGTTTTTCTGTTGGGCCAACGAACGGAATGTGGTCAAATTGTCAAAAAGCCCAAAAGAAGAAGCAGGGAAGACAACACGATTGGCGAGAGTGTCGAGATTACATGTCTTCCTTCTAAAACGATGTCCTCATCAACATCGCGCCCACCCCCTCCCTTCAAACGCTATATACTAGTTGGAAGCGAAAAAGCTCTCTCTTTTACCTTTCGATTTTTCTTGGCCTAATCACACACTTCCCTCTCGACACTGCGAGTCAGCACGAACGCTCTCTCCCCGCTTCTCTTCGCTCACCTCCTCATCGCCGCGGCCTCCGTCGCGGCGGCCGCGGCCATCGACGCCTACCCGACCATCCCCAGCGTCGGCGACTGCTCGGTGTCCGACGGTGGCGAGGAGCTCAGGCCCGTCCGCCGAGAAGTTTATGATGGCGGGAGGAT